GTGCTCCTGGGACATCTGGGACTCACAGCCGTGACCTGCAGGTCCACAGTCACTCCCAGTATGTCTACCAGAAGACTGCAGTACTGATTTTCCTGTGGTCTCCTGGTCTGCGGAGACAGGACTTCAGAGCTAACTCACAGGCTCCGCCTCCATGACGGTCTGAGTGGTTCTCGTCTGTGACCTCTGAGGACACTCTACACATACAAAGGAAGCTCAGTCACTTAGCACCTCTCTCTGCTCACGCCACGTCATTCTGTGGCCTCTTCTCTTAGTTTCTCTGTCTCAACCACAGGATTCTCTTCTCAAAGTAGGTATCTTACTCCACAAAATCCCAAGGCTGAAGACCAGGTCCAGCTCAGAAAGAAGTGAGTTCAGTCAGAGTCCCTGGCCACCCATGTCCATCAATGGTGCCCATCCAGCCCACACAGCCCTGGACCCTCTCACCTGCCGGAAGATGTAGCTTGCCAGRGGCTCATCCAGGCTAGGGTGACAGTCAATGAAAGCAAAGAGGTCCAGGCCAGAGCCATGCTTCTCCATCACCAGCTGGAAGAAGCCCTGGTTCTCAAACACGTCCAGCACCTGGGAAAGGCAAGGCCAAGGGAAGCTCTGCTGACGTCAACCACCAGAGGAAGGGTGTTCTACAGGAGCAACGTCAGGGCTCCGTCCTTCACCTTGATGATGTTGGCATGCTCCACTCTGGAGAGAATCGCGATCTCCAGAGAGACTTTTCCAAGTTTGGGGTCCTCCACCCAACAGTCTTCCAAAATCTTCTCCTTCTTAATGAACTTCACCACCACCTGTGGAAACAGTGAGGACGTAATGGACAGTCCTCTGTGTCCCATTCCACATGAGGTCCACTACCAGCCCCTGGCCACAGCAGAGCGGCAGTGTTCTCCTCCCCCAAGCAAACACCAGCCCCGCAGCGGGAAGAAGCAGGCAGTCAGCAGCTGAGCAGAGGCGGGGGAGTCCCTGCCTGTCCTTCTCACGCATGGACTGGAGTGGAGGGGGCCCAGGAAGCAGGGCCTGAGGAAAGAAGCCGTGGAGACCTCAGAGTGGTGTGGCCCAGACCACCCATGCAGCCTCATCCTCCTCGAAGTTCTGTGTCCTAACCAGGAGAACAAAATAACAAGCCCAGGGAGAAGAGGAAATAAAGGACCATCCATCCCGAGACACATTTCAACACTGACTCTGAGGCCAGCCAGCAAGTCCACAAACTGGACGGACAGAGCAGAGCACAYGGGACCTTCACAAAGTCAGGCCCCGTGCCGGCACATAACACAAAGCGTGTTCTCAGACTGTGGGTACACGAAGCTAGAAGTTGAAAACTGAAAGAGACCCGAACAGCTCCAACGACCTGGAAGTTAAACAACACGTTTCCACATAACCAGAACATTTACAAGTGAATAAGAACAAAACACAGAATATGGCAACGTGGGCCATGGATGAAGCCAAGCTGGGGAGGAATTCCGAGCACTGACACTTACACTAGAGAAGAGAAAAGCTCAACTAAGCCATGTAAGAAGGCACCTCAGAAAAGGAGGAGCCAGGAGTGGTGGGCACATCTGTGATCCCTGCCACCGGTGAGGCCGAGCTGGAGGGCACAGCTGTCGACCAGCATGGGTACCCCAGTGAGACTCTATCTCAACACAGAAAATAAAAAGGGGTATGCAGGTGGATCAGTGGTAAAGTGCCCCTGGGCTCCATCCCTGGTAACAAGAAAAAGAAAAAGGAAAAAGAAGGAAAGCAAAGCAAATTAAATCCAAAATAAAATAATAATAAAGAATCGGAACCACAAAACTAAAATCAGATCAGTAAGGACGATTAATGAAGCCATGACATTAAGCCTCTAACCAGACAGATCAAAAAACAATAAGACCCAATATCAAGTATGAGAGAGATGATAGAATCACAGATGCCAAAGACACTGAAAGATTCTCAAGTATCACAGACAACTTTATGCGGATACATTTGAGAATCTGGATGAAACAAAGCTCCTGAAAGACCCGAACCATCAAAGCTCACTCAAGAAGCCAGAAACAGAAGTCACCTTCTATTTCAGAATCTTGGTTTGTAGTTTAAAACTTGCATTTAAAGAGCAACCCACTCCCAGACCATTCTACTGTTCAATCCTACAAAATATTTAAGGAGGAAATTACATTGTACGCCATTGTGCACAGACTCCTGCAGGGGACAGAGGAAGGGGCTACTTCCAGGTCTGTCTTTACAAGGCCACTTCACTGACCCCAGAGGCAGAAGAAGCGTTTCCACAACACTCAGGCCACATGCCTCACCACCACAGAGCACTGACAGAGGGGATACGGCAGTGTTTCAGGACAGCAGTGACACAGCGGACCAGGGGCACTTAATTCAGGACACAAAGTTGACGGAATTCGCAGTCCACACCCAAGGTTGGCRGAGTGGTCCACTGATGTCTGACCACGCTCCCAGACAAAGAAAGGACACCTTTTAACAACTGTGCCAACTGGTGCACATGCCCATGCAAAGATAACCCTCAAGTGTGTTTTGTGCCACGTGCAAAATCACTCCGACTCCATCACAGGCCTAAAGCAAAGCTTCAAACCCAGAACCTGAAGAAAGAAACATGGAATCTTCGTGACCTTGGATCACATAGGACAGGGAGCACATGATCCATGGGAAGAAACTGATAAAATCGGACTTCACCAAAATCCGAACCTCTGTCCCTGAAAGGCACTGTCGTGGACGGAAGACGGGAAGACGGGAAGACGGGAAGACGGGCTCTGACTGGAGAACACATCTGAACAGCAGGCCTCTGATGAAGGGAGCCGGCATGGGGCCAGGGGTCCCAGAGCTCAGGAGGCTGAGACAGGAGGACTGCAAGTATGTGGCCAGCCTG